CTCTAACACAACAATATAAATTTTCTGTTACTTACATCGCCACTCCATCACCCTTCCTGTTAACCCTATCAGTGTGGAATAGTTTATAACCCTGTATGTTGCATTCAGAAGGCATTTCTCTATCTTTCAGGTTGAACCAGGTCTCTGTTATACCAATAATATCTATATTACCTACACTTGCAAGTAATCTTAGCTCATCAATCTTATTTCTTAGACTCCTACTGTTTGTGAGGGAGCTAGTCACTCATTGCCCTCTGCTATCTCTCTTTGTTTGTTGATCAATTGATTTGCCATTACTACCAACTATATTTTGAATATTGTCTTTTAAACATATCCCCGAGGTATCCTGGTAATAACTGCTGTTTTTAAACTTAATACTGCAGCCTAATTGTTTTCCCACAAACACCCATACCTCTATAATCTATCAGTTTAAATTCCTAGACAAGTCATCAATTACCCTCTCAATCGAATTGGCTAATGCAACCACTCCAGCCCCAGAGAGATGAACCCCATCCCTTGCATACATATCACGTTTGCTAAAGAATAGGTCCCAGTTATCAATGAATGGGATTGCAAGTTCCTATCAGTACCTGTCTAGCCAGCAATTTATACCAATTGCCCTAGACATCCATTCATTGCCCACTCGCTTTCTAGGCAAGATGCTGCATATGACTGGGATCCCTCCCTTAGACCTAACTACTTCTATGGCTGACCTGTAATTATCCAGCAGCTCCTGTCTTCTGCCCTTCCCAGTGTCATTACCCCCAGCACTAAGACAGATAATGGGCTTGTTCCCATTACCTGACATAATATTATTCAACCTGCTGACTATGTCACCAACACCAGCTCCAGGAAGGCACACCCTCTGTCTGACCTTTCTGTCTCTGTTACAAAAAGCACGGTCCATATATCTTACCTGAGAATCTCCTACTCATGTGGCTCCAACTTATCCCAGTCAATTTCTTTGTGTTTTGAAGTCATCCACAATCAGTAGTTTCTCCCTGTGTGTGTGTGTGTGTGTGTGTGTGTACTCACCTATTTGTACTCACCTATTTGTGGTTGCAGGGGTCGAGTCTTAGCTCCTGGCCCCGCCTCTTCACCGGTTGCTACTGGGCCCTCTCTCTCCCCACTCCATGAGCTTTATCAAACCTCGTCTTAAAACTGTGTATGGTTCCTGCCTCCACTACGTCATTTTCTAGGCTATTCCACTGCCTTACAACTCTATGACTGAAGAAATACTTCCTACTATCTCTATGACTCATTTGTGTCTTCAACTTCCAATTGTGGCCTCTTGTTTCTATGTCCCCTCCCTGGAACATCCTGTCTTTGTCCACCTTGTCTATTCCACGCAGTATTTTATATGTCGTTATCATGTCTCCCCTGACCCTCCTATCCTCCAGTGTCGTCAGGCCGATTTCCCGTGTGTGTGTGTGAGTGTGTGTGTGTGTGTGTGTGTGTGTGTGTGTGTCTGTGTGTGTGTTGTGTGTGTGTGTGTTGTGTGTGTGTCTTCTTACCTAATTGTACTCACCTTATTGTGGTTACAGGGGTCGAGACTCAGCTCCTGGCCCCGCCTCTTCTCTGACCGTTACTGGGTCCTTCCCTCCCTGCTCCATGAGCTTTATCATACCTCACCTTAAAACTATGTATGGTTTTTGCATCCACTACATTGCTTGCCAGACTATTCCACTTCCTAATAACTCTGTGGCTGAAGAAATACTTCCTAACATCCCTTTGACTCATCTGAGTCTTCGGCTTCCAATTATGACCCCTTGTTTCTGTGTCCCATCACTGGAACATCCTGTCTCTGTCCACCTTGTCTATTCCACACAGTATTTTGTATGCCGTTATCATGTCTCCCCTGACCCTTTTGTCCTCCAGTGTCGTCAGACCAATTTCCCTTAACCTTTCTTCGTAGGACATTCCCCTTAGCTCTGGAACCAGTCTTTGCACTTTCTCTAATTTCTTGACGTGTTTGACCAGGTGTGGATTCCAAACTGGTGCTGCGTACTCCAGTGTGGGCCTAACGTACACAGTGTATAAAGTCTTGAACGATTCCTTACTGAGGTACCGGAATGCTATTCTCAGGTTTGCCAGGCGCCCATATGCCGCAGCAGTAATCTCGTTAATGTGTGCTTCTGGTAACGTACTAGGTATTATAACTTACTCCTAGATCTTTCTCCTTGGGCGAGGTTTGTAATCTTTGGCCTCCTAGCCTATACTCCGTTTGAGGTCTTCTTTGCCCTTCTTCGATCTTTATGACTTTGCATTTAGTGGGGTTAAATTCTAGGAGCCAGTTGCTGGACCACGCATCCAGCCTGTCCAAGTCTCTTTGTAGACATGTCTGATCCGCATCTGATTTAATTCTCCTCATTAGCTTCACATCATCTGTAAACAGGGACACTTCTGAGTCTATCCCTTCCGTCATGTCGTTCACATATACCAAGAATAGAACTGGTCCTAGGACTGATCCTTGTCATGGACCATGACTCGCTGTTGCCTCCCTGTTAGGTATTCTCTGATCTGTTGCAGTGCCCTTGCTGATATATATGCCTGATCCTCTAGCTTCTGTACTAATCTCTTGTGAGGAATGTGTCGAAGGCCTTCTTGCAGTCCAAGAAAATGCAATGAATTCACCCCTCCCTCTCATTTCTTACTTCAGTTACCTTGTCATAAAACTCTAGTAGGTGTGTGTGTGTGTGTGTGTGTGTGTGTGTGTGAGTGTGTGTGTGTGTGTGTGTGTGTGTGTGTGTGTGTGTGTGTGTGTGTGTTGTGTGTGTGTGTGTGTGTGTTGTTTGTGTGTGTTTTTTTTTTTTTTTTTTTTTTTTTATTCACCGGTATTCTCCCGGCCCGGGTCTTTTCCAAGTAGTGGTGACCCGGCCTTGGCTCCCTATCTGGGGAGTGTCTCGAGACTTAAGTCTCCCATGGGAGGAAGGACAAGTACCTCCTCATCTTTGGGACCAAGTGTCCCCAGGCCTAGCCACATTCCCCGCCCTCACTGGGCTCGTAGGGAGAAGCTAGGCCTCTGGTCTGCCATCTACCCCGCCTCAAAGGGGCTCGTGGGGATGGCAGTCTTATGAGCTGCAGATGGTAGCAAGCTCAGGCATAAAGTGTGTTTGTGTGTGTGTGTGTGTGTGTGTGTGTGTGTGTGTGTGTGTGTGTGTGTGTGTGTGTGTGTGTGTGTGTGTGCGTGTGTGTGTGTGTGTGTGTTACGCAGTGTGGTGCACTAAAAATTTATATAAAAAATAATGTTCCATAGTTCGGGGATTAAACTGAATCCGGACGTGTTTTATTCCTGTCAGTCACACAGAGTGGACAGGAGCAGACGAGGTGTTCAGGCAGTAGGTTACGCACACCAGAGGAAGCTGGATGTAGAAGTGTGAGTATGTGGTTTTGGGTAGTTTTTTTTAGTGTATACTATAGGTGTTCTTGCCTGCTGGTAACTAGTCTAGCAGGCAGAAGTAAAGGGGGAAGTGTGTGTCATGGAGCCTCCCTGTTTATAAATACATATAAAATTTTGTGTCACTAGTAACAATGAGCTAATGTGAACTGGAGTGTGTTTTTGTTTTGTAGAAGAGTGCAAGTTGTATATAAGTTACTCATTAATATATAGATACATTTTTTGTATAGGTGAGTTTTCATGTCTTTCCTTATATAATAATTAATATTGTTTAACATACGAGTGCATGCTGACACGAGAGATGCTGTGTTTTTCAGCGTAATTTAAATGATCCTAGAAAGCAGATTAAGCAGCCATTTAGGAGCCAATACATTTTATTTAAGTTACGATATCGAAGTCGTAACAGTGTGTGTGTGTTTGTACATTTATGTTTGTCTGTGTATGAAGTGTGTGTGTGTGTGTGTGTGTGTGTGTGAGTGTATGATTAACTCTCACGATTGTGAGGTTCAGTGTTAATTTTGATATTTTAAAGTATACATGTAATATCAAAAGTATCGGCTGGTATCGGCCTTTTTTTCACCAATACCAACAGAGTAAAACTGACCGATACCTTCCTATACCGATACTTTGGCTCATCCCTTAATAGTAGTGTTTCCTGATCATTTATTTATCCCTTGTTGTCTACTTTTAATAATACAATATTCAACCAATTATTAGCATAACTATTCTATACTTAAAATTCAAGATATTAGAATATAAGTAGTTTCTCCTGCTTTGTAGATGAATGGTTCAGAGAACCGACATGTTGATAAATTAGACACATGTGCAACTCTTGGGTATCTTTATTGAGGAAACGTTTCGCCACACAGTGGACTGACCACATCGACTCAAGGTTGAGGGACTGATTACCTCATTCTCCTCCTGTTCTTCAAGATTCTCCTTTGTATGGACTGATGAAGCCACTGTGTGGCGAAACGTTTCCTCAATAAAGATACCCAAGAGTTGCACATGTGTCTAATTTATCAGTTTCTCCTGCTTAGTTTCAATTACGTAAGCTTCCATTCCAATATTCTACTTATGTATGTTATAATGTTCAATTGTTGTGTACTTTGACATTGTATAGAATCAGCCCAAGCCGTACACCTGCCGTCTCTAGTTTGTAGTAGCTGTATGTCGGGATGACATATGTTAGCGTCACCGAGCTCTCAGCAGTAGTACCAGTTCCTAGTAACCAGTTACCAGTAACCAGTGTACCAGTAGATGACTCACTACCAACCGTCTGCGTGAATCATTGACTGTTCATATTGCTGCTGACCATAGCAGGATTTCAAACACCCCTCACCCTGTAGGCACTTGTGGGTCAGTCGAAGATAGGGAGCAGAGAGAGGCAGGTCGGCTGTTGGCGCTTCCCATACTTCCCGTTATATATTATACGTACTACCAGCCTACGTGAGTATTTTTACCCATCCACGTTATCGAAAACCCACATGACATAAACAATTAGAAAAAATATTGACACTACTCTTAATAAAAATAGAAAGGAGACAAATTTAGTTCAAATAATGTTCGGGAATTCCTTAGCATCCATAGATGGAAGACTTACTTTGCCAGAGTAACTGACGGAGGGATGCTTAGGTGGTTTGTTAAGTAGCGTTCCCCAGCTGTACAAGAAGGCAGTGCTGAGCCTCACAACATGTGTTCCTGTAATCCACTTCCACGCCCTCAGTAGCAGCCACAGGATCACGCTCACCGTTACTTCACTCGTCATCAACACCAACCACAGACTTGCTGAGTGCAGTGATGGATGATTGTGTTAAAGGCTTAAATTAAACAAATCACTAATAATGTATGTCTTCGTAAATATATAATACTTTCCAAGTGATAAGTTTAAAATTCTAGCATTTATCAATTGCAATGAAAATACCTCTGTGACGTGATAAATTTAAGATAAAAATATCCCCAGATTAACGTATCAAAGTAAACTCTTAAAACGGAAGCTCCTAAAGATTTACTGGATTCTGACATGCAAATAATTTTATATTCGAAGAAGTCCAGGGATGTTACTGCAGTATACAAGTTCTTCATCTTAGATGAAGTAAGGAGGGAGTTCAACCTCGCTTGCCCAATAAGCTGTTATTTTAACCTCTTGGTGCAGACAGTTCTTTTCTTTTCGTCTGGATGCTAAAAGTTCTGATGCTTGCTTTGACAGAATGAAGTCACAGATGAGATCACTGAGTTCTTGGAAGAATTTTTTTGGGGTTTTGAAATGATTAACTTCGCTACTATCACCTGTGTTACATCCTAATCCTTGAGTATCTTCAACATCTGACAAGAGAAGGTCAGGCAATGTTGTGAACACTGGTATGGTAATATCTTCACTGTGTGTTACAGGTCGCCTTGCTGACTCCAGAATACGATATTCCCACTTGACTGAAACCTTTCACAGTCACCATACAGAAACAAGAATCCTCGTGGTGTTTTTTCGGATCTTTCCACAACATAGGCATACCGAAGTTTAAACTTTTCCTTTGCCTATTTTCTCATTATCGTAAGCATTCTACACAAGTTTTGCAAACCATATGGGGAGCCCAAGACTTGTCTTGTTCTCCAGCGTCACTTCAAGACTAGCAAGATAAGCTTGTTTTACAAAATCTGTGATTTTTGTCTTTGTTTTTGCAAAGAGTATTCACCACAGATATAACAAAATGCGTTGGGATTGTTTAAGCAGACTCTTCGTGAAGAACTTTTGTTTATCTGGAAAAATAACAAAATAAAGGTTACAATATTGTCACGTGATCGTTGTTGATATAACTGCTGTCGTTAAATATTAAATAATTTAAAAATTTAATTCTAATCTTTATGAAAACTATCTGTAAATACAAATTGTCACTACCTATACATGCGTTATTGCTAAGTTTCCTGTTAATTGAGGGTAAGTATACAATATCTCAAACTTGAGCCAGTTTGAAAAATCTACCGCCATTTTCGAATTCAGCATCACCAAAATACCCTAAATATCTTTAAATATCTTTGGCAATAATTTTTTTGTTGTTGACCAGTGATTTTTTTTTATGAATCATTTTTTTGCCAAAATTTGCAGCCGATGTAATATAATGAATTTTTAATAACTTATTCTCTATTATGGAGTAACTGCTGATGAATGCTTCAAGGACATTAAACAACATATTCTCACCGGAAGTAGAAAATAAGATTTAATGTTTTAAGAATATGGCTTTACGCTTATGACTAACAGTTATGTCTGTCTGATGAACCAACAGAAGTCCCCCATCGTGTTGGGATCATACACCCACGTAGTGTATCTCCATTGTAATAATATCATGATGAAATCTTTTTCCCAGGCTCATCACTGACTGTACCAGGATGATGTTAGGTAAGACACATATGCAACAGTTAGGTATCTTTATTTTGAAACGTTTCGCCTACTCAGTAGGCTTCTTCAGTCGAGTACAGAAAAGTTGATAGAAGCAGAAGAGACTTGAAGACGATGTAATCAGTCCATCACCCTTAAAGTTTTGAGGTGGTCAGTCCCTCAGTCTGGAGAAGAGCATTGTTCCATAGTATGAAACAATATGTACCAGGATGAGATGGGAAGAAGTTCAGATGTGAATGACTATTACGATTGACCTTAGAATTTGTAACATATTTAGTCTGAGTATAGGAGATGCTTAGTATTGAATATACTCATGGAAAATCGTAATGAGGATTTATATGATGGGGTGATGAAAAGACTGCATTAAAATTTGTTTTTAATATAACGTAATTTCCTAATATTATTTAAGGTATTTTAAAATGGTACCTTTATTTATATAGAAATAACACTTAAAAGACTTATAACTTATATACCGCTTACAATTACTTCCATTCTGACTGAATGGGTATTTACATACGAAATTGATAAAGTTACATGGTCGTTCTAACCAGAGACGATCCAAGCTTAATAATTGAAATCTTTTTAAACACTGAAGAGATTTTACTTGGTGAGAGTTTTACAAATACTCTACTTTCAAGAGACTGAGAGAATAATACTAAGCTAATGAATAACTTCTCAGTCACAGTAAGCGAGTAAGTAGAGAGGACCTTCTCAAGACTGAGAGAGGTGTAGTACTGTTTCCCACACTTCTTACCTCTGACGTCAGCTCGCGTCAGGCGAGTAGTGTAGAGGTGAGGCCATACAAACATAAGTTGGTCGTTACTCATGGTGAAAGATCCAAAATAATTCATCATATACACATATATACATATAATGAAAATGAAAAAATGAAAATGAATATTTAATTTTATAAAGCTGGTTACTTTCATTTTAGCTATTAACGATGGTAATTGCAATGCAATATTAGAAGGATGAACAAATATGAAAGACAGTATATAAAAACTTCATCTCGGCATAACACCCCTTCCCCCATGATAGTATGTAGTACTGCGAATTTTAGTTTTCCCAAACGTTTTGTATCGTGAAGCATACAAATGATCATATTGTAGGGGCTTGGGATCCGAGAGACAAGGTGTGTAGACTGCCAGATTTCTAGTAACCTGTCAGTGTTAATATATATATACACGAGTATTCAGGGTAGAGGGAGAGAAGGCAGTAGATAGCCTGGTCCCTCGATCATATCCCAGCTTTTATACCAAGTTACTATAATCACATACAGTAACCGCATGATAAAAAGAAATTACATATTAGAAATATAACAGAAATTTGAAGTTTAATTTTTTTAAGTAATTCTTTAGAAAGAATTGTCTCAATTGAATTTTCAGTTTATTCAACTTTATTAGGGATGCGAAAGAGTCTTGGCAAGAACGTTACTTGGGCCTTTTTATATGATTAATACTGAATGAATAGGGCTAGATTCTGAGAGCCCACCTCAAAATCCAGGCATTCTTTGATTTCATTGTATTTATGAATGTTAAGGGATTGTGGTCAGAAAACGCAGAGATTTTATGAGGCGATGTTCCCAAGTACACGTAAAAATACTCTAAAGAAACTACAAGGGCTAACGCCTCTTTTTCAACGGTTGAATAATTTCTCTGATGAGGCTTTAATTCAGATGAAAAATAGCAAATGAGATGCAAAACTTCAGAATCTGATGAATTTTGTAGTAAGACTGCCCCTATAGTGTAGCAGTAGCATCAATGTAAGATAAAGGGTTTATGAAATTTGGGACTTTGCAATACAGGAGAGGATGTAAGCAATAGTTTTTATTTTTGTAAAGCTTCATTAAATTCCAAGGTCCATTTAAAGGTTACTCTAGGGCTAGTTAATTCAGTCAAAAGAATGGTTAATTGTGCAAAGTTGGGGCAAAATCTTCTGTAGTAGCTAATCATACCCAGAATTCAGTAATGGCTTTTACTTTGAGGTGAAGGGGGACCACTTTCCCTTGTCCTATTTGAAAACCTAAATACTTGATAGTGGCTTGTCCAAAAGTGCACTTTGCCAAGTTCACTGTGAAATTATAGCTCTCTAGGGATTTGAATAAAGCCTCTAGTCAAATAAGGTGTTCCACTCAGGAGTCACTGAATACCACCAAATCATCAACATATGCCTCGACTCCTTCCAAAGGTTGGGTCAGCTCTTTCATAAATCTCTGAAAGGTTGAGGCTGCGTTGCATAAACCAAATGGCATAACTCAGTAATTGAACAAACCATCTTTAATGGCAAAGGCTGTTTTGTCTCTATCCTTTGGAGCAAGAGGGTCTTGGCAGCTTTGAATGTAGTGATGGAGACACCATCTATCAAGTCATCTACTCGAGGAAGAGGATATCCATCAGGTATAGTAACGATGTTAAGCTTACAATAGTCCATGCACAGCTTACGGTAGTCTATGCACATACGAGATATCCCATCTGGGTTATGAACTAACAGGCAAGGTGACACCCAGGAACTTTTACTTCATTCCACAAGGCCATGTTCTAGAAGAAATTCTATTTCTTGCTTCAACATCTGATGTTTTGCTGGACTCACTGTATATGGGGGTTGTATGATTGGATGAGAATCAAAGAGTTCGACTTCATGATACCCTAGAGTGCAAGTCATTAGCACATTTCCAAATGAACTGTTATGGTTTAATATGAGGTTTTTAAATTCTCTCTTTTTTTCTAGTTGTCCAGATTGTTCAGGAGTCTATCAAGATTTTGTAGAGTTTCTGAAGTTTTAAGGTGAACTTCTACTCTTTTAATGCCTTCGGATAATGGTGTACCCACCATTGTAGATAATGTAGTGATGGATGTTGTCGGTAAGGTCTTAGAATGATAAGGTTTCAACTGATTTACATGAAAGACTCTGTTGTTCCGTTTCCCTGGTATATTCACTACATAATTTACGTCATTTTCTTTGCTCACAACCTCCTAAGAACCTTGGTAATGTGGTACGAGAGCATGGCTGGGGACTAATCTCTGAGTCATTACTAAATATTTGGGTTGAAATGCGCGAGGTTTCGCTCATTGGTCGTACCAAAACTTCATCTTCTTTTGAGCCATAGCCAAATTTTCTGCGGCTAACTCTCTAGCATAAGATAAACGTTCTTGCATCAGAGCTGGTGATGATTTTATGGAAGATGCTGTCTTGCCAGTCCAAGTATCTCTCAATACAGCTAACGGGCCTTGGACCTGATGTCCATAGATGAGTTCAAATGGGGTAAAACCCCGTACTCTCTTGTTCGCTTTCTCATAAAGCAAATAATAGAAATGGTATACCTTCATCCTAATCTTGGGAAAATTGTTCACAGTACACCCGTAGCATCGATTTTAGAGTCTGATGAATATGTTCCAGA